TAAGAGGTGTGTACACGTACATTTAGTGTGTCTGGGTGGCGCGAAAATTGTTGGGAGGTTTTGTGAGACATCACCTGTAAGAGGCCATAAAATCCAAACCATTCCAGTAATGACAAAGTTATAAAGAAGATCTGATTAGGACGAGTTGATCTCTCTACGACATTCCTACAGGCAACAGCGGCGATTTTAGTGTGTCTAGGTGGAGCCAGAGAGCCCATTTTGGCACTTTGAGGATTCATTACTTCATTTTCTAAAATTTTTCGCCAGTCCTGACATGCGTGTCAATTTTGGTGACTTTTTGAGCATGTTTAGGGGGTCAACTGTTTTTTTTCCACATCAATGGGCCCCCATGTCATGCAGTAGGTGCCCTTTTTTCCTTTTCACCCCTGCCCTACAAACATCCTAAGTCCACCACTCACAGAGAGAGACAAGTTGAAGAGCAGGCAGATCGAGGTGGCTTTCAACTCCTCCCTTTCATTCCCAAACCATAGGTCCGATCGTCAATCTGAACATACCACAAGAAAGATACACTTGTTCTGAATGCATAGATATTGGTTTCATGTTTGAAAAGTCAAAAATGCGATCTTCGTCGCACATTTACGATGTCTAGCTCACAGCTGACACATTTGCTCATGTTACTTCAGAGGCACTAGCTTAGAGTTCTCAATTTCAACCTGAGCCAGAGCCGACCCGAATAAGCCAGACGGGTTGGGTCGGTTTGGGCCAACTAATTAAGATAATTGGGGTGGGCTGAGTCGGGCTCGGACAGCGGAGAGAGAGAGAGAGAGAAAAAAAAAAGTGTGTCTGTCAGAGAAGCGCACTGTGTGAGGGTGCGACAGCAGCACTAACACCCAAAGGTTGACTTTAAGTGATTAAAGATACTGTATTTGAGCCAGGGAAGCCAGGCTGCTGAGGCGCACAGGGGAAGCATAATTTTTTCCCCCTTCCATTTAAAAAAAAAACCAACTCGGGTTCAGCCGGGCTCGGACCCAGTGATGTATGTGATGATGTCGGGCCGGGCCGGTTTCGGGCTTCAAGTCCCTCGGATCATTTCGGTTTCGGGTTGAATTTTTGGGCCCATTGAGAACTTTACACTAGCTCATTTCTTGTTGGATTTAGGTCAGTGGTGTCAATGAGTGATTTGTAGATCTTGAGAAGACAAACAAGCCAGATTTGGTTTGATCTTTCTATGTCATTCCTACAGGCAGCAGCAGTCATTTTAGTGTGTGTAGGTGACGCAAAAATTGTCAAGAGGTTTTGTGACATGTTACCTTAAAGAGGGCATAAAATCCAAACCGTTTGAGTAATGACAAAGTTGTTCAGAGGAATTGTTGAGCAGGGCATGATCTATCATGTGTGCATGTTTGAAGTCGATACAATAAACGGTGTAGGAGGAAATATTTTTTTAGTAAGAGAATTTTTGAAAAATGACATCTTACTTGATGTCAAGTAAGTCCTTCGGCCGAGGTCCCTAATAATAAACGCAGCAAAAACAATAGGGACTTCGTCCTTTGGCCGAGGTCCCTAATAAAGGGAAACTTTGCAGATATTCAACTAGCCACTGATACTCTGCTGGTGTATAGGTGGGGAGCTTGGGGGGAAGCCAAACACTTTCATCTGCACACACTGCGATGACACATAGCCAGTTGAATAACGGCAGGTTCCCTGTTTCCCTTCACTGGTTTCTGTAGAGCAGGGTAGGTCTTTATTCACTGCTATAATCATTAAAAAGCAAAAGCAGCATGTGTTAACTTTCAGCAGGCTGTATCCTCAGTAGCGAGCTTGCTAACCCTCCACTTTTTTTTTTGATTTTGGCTTTGGAACAAGGAAGAAATGTATATCTCCTTCTAACCTCTCCAGGCAACAAGTATCATTAATAAACATTGTTCCCCAGACAAGGCCGGGACCTAGTGAAGGGTCAATTATGAGATAAAAATACATAAATATGAGTCTCCAATTTCTTTTTCTCAGGTAAATGCAGTGTCATTCTGTAGAAATGACCCCAATTACACAGATTTAGTGAAAAAGAGCAGTATGTATTTAACCTTCCTACACAGATGTTACATATTAGAAGTCCTCCAGCAGCTCAATTGGCATACCACTGGTAGGCATTTAATGTGAAACATGTACAAAAAGTCAATGGGATACATCTCTGTTGTACCAAATTAAAGGGCCAGTGTGTAAAATGGGTTGAAAGCAGTGACATCAGTGGTCAAATTCTGGATTGCAGGGCTCACTCGCTCATCCCTCCCGCCGGGTAAATGACGGTGGCCTCGTAGGGACAAAAAGCCTTGCGCATGAGTTTTTCAGGAGTAGGGGTATCTAGTGACGAGGTGAATGTTTATTTAGAAATCTAAGCCATGTTATGATATTGTAATGAATCACTCACGAGCAGGAGACCAGAGGGGAAAAAGGCCCGTTTATTTGAGCACTCCAGAAACTCCAGTAACACTCCAGGGGGTAAAAGACTCCGTCCCAAACTCTGACTCTTCCAGCGTAACAGACACACTTCATAACTTTACACACATACTCGTTTACCATACCAAGTGGGGACCCCCCTCCCCTCTCTGCTCCACCAACCTCTAGCCCGCACACTGACTGACAGCGTAGCAGGTAAACAGAGCTCAGCTGTTTATTTAGCCTAACGATATCTCCGGACTATAGTAGCTGCAATGGACGACTTTGAACGCGATTTTGAAGAGTTTCTTGTAGCGGACACAGACCCAGAGCCATACCTGTTTGAGCTGGAGCATACAGATGAGGAACTTGGGTGCTGAGCGGGCGAGAAGAGAGGCTGAATGCACAGAATGGGATTCGGTGCTACTGCTGCCATCGTTGGGGAGATATATCATCAGGAGGAAAAGCGCCGCAGAGAGTGCATCACAAGGAGTGAAGTTGCGTCTTCTTTTCCTCGCAGATGTCGGTTTGGGTTCATTCTCTCCTGTGGCGTGGTAAGTGTGGTCCATTCACAAACTTTATAACTAAAAAAACTTTTCACTACTCTCTATCGACGAACTACTAACACTCTCTGCTGTTTCCTCCTCTTTCTTCCTTCCTTCCACTGTCTTCGTTGGTTCATTTATACACGCGAAACGCGTTCTCTGGCTGGCTGGATTGTCCGCTCAGACTGCCTTACATACATGGTGGCGCAAGATGGCGACCTCTCTAAAGCAAGGCCCTTGCTATATATGTATATATATAAAAGCATAATTATAAGGCTACGAAAACCAAACAAATTTTATTTTATAGTGATTATACACTTGTATAAACATATTAACAATAAACCATGCCAAATATTACACACTGGCCCTTTAATTAGTGCTGTGGAAATGTACATTATACATACATTAGTTTGGCTTTAGAATCATATGGGAAGCTAACATGGCCTCCTGAATAAAAGTCGGAAGTCGTTGGACCCATCCACCACCCCTCCCACCCGCCCTACATGACCCCTCACTGCCTTAACTTTCATTCTTGTCCCACTTTTCCCTGATGCCCCAGCGACTGGTCACGTTTCATGGCAACATGAAAGGATGTCTTTTTTGTCAGTGTCTGATGCTGTAAGTCACTGCCCAAGCGCCGGATTTCAACAACTTCAGAGTAAGAGTGATCCTCTGGAATGTCCTGATAGAAAGCGGCTAATAGCTGTCTGGGCCCATATTTAAAGGCCATTACGCTCTTTTAAAACCATTTCATTTGTGCTGAACCTAACATTTGTTTAATGTGGCTTTTGTTTATGATCTAGTGGTGACTTTTTGTTTTTTGTATTTTTGTTTACTTCACTTAATTACTTGTGTTTGTCCACATCATTTTAGCAATTTTGGCATGTTTTAACACTTGTCTTTTGTTGTTTTTGTCTTTGACCCCCCCCCCCCCCACAAAAAAAAAAATTCTCATCGGATCTACACGATTCACATAGGTCACCACTTTTGCAACAACTCTCTGTACTCTCTGCATTTGTAGTAGTGATGAAATGGTGAAAAACATAAAACAAGCATCAGATGGACTGTACTCATACTCCACAATAATATAAGTAAGCAGCATCAATTAATCAGTCAATGAGAATGTGGGGTTTTTTTGGAGGGGGGGGGGGGGGGGCATAAGCACATACAACGAGCAGCAGTGACCCACCGTCCGACACTGGCACAGCATGAGGACAACAACAGAGGGCTTGGTGGGGACAGAGTCAGTGGACTTCACTACAAGCTGATTTATTGTTGAAACAGGTGACATGCTTTATGTTCTAAAACCAGACACTGGCGATTTGACCTGCTGAGTTGCAGGTGACACCGTCAGCTGGCTTGAGTCAAGCTCAGACGACCAGTTCACACCGCTGCAACATTTCTCTGCAACGTTTTAAAGCGGTTTTGTCTCGTTGTGCATAATTGGTCAGAACTGGGCTTTAGAGACCGGCCCATTTTCATTCCGAAGTTGTCAATCACTGCCACGTTGTCAGTAATTTTGGCCCCAGACACCTGATGCCAAAAGCCACTTTTCGCAGAGGAATGATATGCGGGTTGACAGTGTCAGCTTGCAACGTGGCTTCACCAAACCTTTTGCAGTGTTATGACGTATGATTCATGGACGCCGTCACTTCAGGCACGGCACGTGTCTGGCAGTATGATATGCCACTGGACAGTGTCAGGTTGACATGCTGCTGCTAATGACATTATTTAAGGAGCTGTGAAGTCCTTATAGGGTGGGCGGAAGGGGTGGTGGATAGGTCCAAGAAACTGTATGAACTGTTGACACTGTATGAATGTAGAACCAAACCATGATGGTTTAACCATGTGCATTTGTTGTCCTGTAGTTGATTGCGGCATCTGGAAACTTCAACAGCAGATGCAGGAAAATATGCAATGAGGTGAAAGGCCACTGACATTGTGGTGATGTCGACTTGGGTTGAGAATGTGTTGTAGAGACTGGCCTGTTTTTTTTGTTTTGTTTGTTTGTTTTGTTTTTGTTTTGGATGTGTGTGTGTGAAGGCCACATGTTCTTACAGGAAACAAGACCACAGGTACAGTCAGAGTGACAGCCACCAGGACAGCCAGCCGAACACACAGGATCAGAGTGTCAAGGGGGTCCACCTTACTGTAGGTATGGAGGAGCTCTGCTTCGGTGTTCTCTGCCCAGACACACACACACACACGCACACGCACACACACACACACACACACACACACACACGTAAAGATATAGAACCAGTGTCTTGCTACCATTAGACTGAGCTATGTTTTTTGCAGCTGACTTCAAGAGATGTTGCTCTTACCGTAGAAGGTCAGATAGCCAAACGTGGCAGTGAGGAAGTACATGATGAACATGCCCAGGATGGAAACATTGCCAATATTCTGCATTCTTCTCTTGGTTGGGCTTTAAGGAAACAAGATGGCAATACAAGTTCTAGCAATACAGTACATTCATTCAGAAGAGTTAAACATTGCCGTTGCTTAAGTTTCTTTTCAGAAATGTTTAAAAATACACTTGGACAGACAGCAGACAAACATTCAGGTGAGACATATTAGGTGCATCCACATCAGTCTGACTTCCAAATAAAGATTTTTTAGATAATCTTGATCAATTGATTTTTTTTTTCACAACTTGTCTGATAGTCTGACTGCCTGTGTTTGTGAAGGGTATTCTTTTTAACAATGTTACCATTGTCCCAGATTTCATTATAACTGATAGAAATGGCAGCCAAAAGATATAAAGCCCAAGTTGTAATGAAGCAGAATTATCCTTACTGTGAACTGTGTTGATATTTATTAATGGTTAATTGGGAACAGGGACGTGGTAACAAATTCCAGGGCCTATGCTTAAGCTGCATACAAAGTTTAGTCTCTCAACTGATTTTCACATTGATGCCCTGGGTATATTATCTCAATAATGTTTTTTTTTAACTGAAAGGTACTTGAACCTGTGCTGTGGAAGTGCATGACGTGTACTGTATGTGAAGAATGTAAGAATCTAATGATGTGTGCATCTTACTTGCTCAGTTCAGTGTAGATGGGAAGTACTTCAGGGTGACATACAAAAGCGAATGCCAGGATGGGGATGGTATATGCCGTCTGCAAATCAAGTCAGAAGTAAGTAAGTGACAGAGTAACTTCACTTGGTTGTTTTCCAGAAGGCACGTGAACTCATGTCCAGCCATGTGCCCTGCGTGATATGATGCACCAGAAAATAGTTCCTGCCCATACATGTATTCAGAGCACACTGCAGTCCTCTGAACACGGCTCATCACACATGAACAGTTCAAATGCAAATGGTAATTTTTGTGTTTGTGTCTTCAGGGAGTTCATCTCTGACCTCTTGGTTGATGGTGAGGAATTTTGCAGTGCATGTGTTCTCTGAGATGGCTGTGTTCACAGAGTGGTTGCCAAACACTTCCAGAGGGCAGGCAATGTTGTATTTCTTGTAGATTACCTGATATGACAGAGACAGAGAGTTTGAGGAGGTCCAACAAATGCTACCTCTCCTGCCCTTAGAAGACATTTGGTACTTTTTGGAACGTTCCCAAAACACGTTGTTTATGTTGGTAACTTTACTCTTCTGCATGTGGTCTCTATATCTGGGTAATTGATATAGCAAGTGTTTGAACCTAACAGCTGTTATAAACTTTCCCAAGGGGAACAAACAGTACAATATAGCAGCTGTTGATGGTAACTCATCCCTGTCCAACCACCTAAAGCCACAAGGAATCTACCTGGAGAATAAGCTGAGACTACACTAGTTTTCATCAGGATTGTTTTGTTTTTCTACAAAAGCAAAATTAGAATAGTGTGAAAGATACCATAATCAAGAAAGAAGTTTCAGATTTAGGACTTTAAACGCATTTCTTTGAGACCTCTGAGTTTTTGCAGTAGTTTTTGCCCATTTCGGGATGCAGAAGAAGCTGTAAGCCCAACATTGATGTAGTATTACCTTACAAAGTTGTTTTTGGTAGCAAACAGCTATTTGTGCATCCAGCAGACAACATTAGCATTCATTTGGATTTGTGAGTCTAATGTTTACTTACCCTTTAGGTCTGTTTTTAGTCTTTAGCAACTCCTGAGGGACATATGTGTCTTTTTAGCTGCTGAATGCTCCACTCTAGTCCCGTTTCCACCAAGTAGTCTGTTACAGTTCATTTCAATTAACTACACTTTTTTTCTGTTTCCACTGTGAAAAGGTGTAGATGATACCAATGGAACCATTCCTTACTGTTCCTATTTTTGGTCACGCCTCTGTTGGTGTACCTAGCACACAGATCTGGTACTAAAATGTAGAGCTAGAAACACTGCAATCCGTTGACTGGTCAACAGAGGAGGTCATTAAATTAAACAGTGATAAAACAGAAATGTTACTAATCGGCATTAAATCCACTCTAGCCAAAGCCCACAGTTTCACCATATTGATGGACAATCCATCCTCCCCTCCCCTCAGGTAAAGAGTCTGGGTGTCATCCTTGTCAGCACACTTTCCTTCTCATCCCACATTAACAACATGACCCGGTCAGCCTACTTTCATCTCCACAACATCAACGGCCTATGCCCCTCCCTCACACCTCACACCGCTGCCATACTGGTTCACAGTCTTGTCACTTCTCAGCTTGACTCCTGCAACTCCCTCCTGTTTGGTCTCCCCCAGAAAATCCTCCATAAACTGCAGATGGTTCAGAATTCCGCCGCCCGTATTATCACTAGGACCCCATCCACCTGTCATATCACACCCATCTTACAGCAGCTCCATTGGCTCCCCATCACCTACCGCATCCTCTATAAGATTCTACTTCTGAGCTACAAGGCCATCCACAACCTCGCCCCTCCGTACCCTAACCCTAACCCTAAACCCTACCTCTCTGATTTCCTTCCTATCACCATACCTGCTTGCACCCTCAGATCCTCTTCTTCTATTCACCTCACTGTCCCCTCCGTTCGCCTCACTACCATGGGGTCAGAGCATTCAGCCGCTCTGCTCCCCAACTCTGGAATTCACTCCCCCTTGAACTCCCAAATACTGATTCACTCCCACACTTTAAATCCAGGCTGAAAACACACCTGTTCAGGCTTTCCTACTCTCTTTGAGTGGGTAAGCCTGAACAGATGTTTTGTTTATGTTTGTTTTGTTTGCTTTTTAAACTGACATTTGTTTGTTTGTTGTTCAATGTTTAATTATCTTGTACTTTGTATTTTATTGTATTTTACTCTGTAAGGCGACCTTGAGTGTTATGAAAGGCGCCCAGAAATAACATTTATTATTATTATTTCCTTAGGGCTGGTTTTGAGGCTTATGTAACCACTGTTCATACCGTGGCAAGTCTTAAATACATCAGTAAACTATAATTATAAAATGAAAGCATGTTTCGTTGCCTCTCACAGCAGATGTAGACTGAGAAAATAAATAAGTTAATTCACTGGGACGACTTCCGTCAACTTTTAAGGTGGAGGGTTCACTTGTAATGTTACTCAATGCATGAACTGACAACCTGAGCCCATCAGCATATCTTAAATTTCAATGTGACAACTTTGACCACTCCATTAGTTTTTATTGTCTCTTGTGGATGACACACACTTAGTAATGAGTGGATCTTCAATATAAAAATTTATAGAAGATTCCATCGGATCATGTGAACTGCATGTATTCTAATCCTCACTGTTCCTGTGCACAACAGCAGCACTAAACCCCTGCGCTTGCCTGACAAAGTCTCAATGCACAAACCCGCTATTTTTAAATATCCCATGGAGAGAGACTCTTACTGCAGCATGTTCTATTTTGTTCTGAAAATGTTGGCATACAACTCCATTCTGTGGACTATAAATGTGGTGCAGACTTGCCTCTGTGTCACTGGTGATGAGGAAATACATCGAAAGCTGGACGGAACAGTAAGTGACAACAACCCTGCCCACATCTCAGAATACTGTCTGCGGTGGAATAAAACATCCTTTCAGTTTGTAGTTATAGTTTACTAATGTGTGGAAAACTTGCCACTGAATGAACAGGAGTTACTTACAGTTACAACTCAGCACTAACGGTTCTCTATTGACCAATCAACAGACTGCTGTGTCTCTAGCTTCACTTTTCAGTAGCCTACCGGATCAGTGTGCTAGGTACCCCAACAAAGGGATGACCAAAAATGGGGACGGTTCCACTTGTACCATGCACAAGTTTTTACAGTGGAAATGGAAAAACTGTGTACTGAACTGAAACAGACTGCTTGGTGGAAACGGGCTGACGTTGTGCATTGTGACTACCCACTGACTCACCGCAGAGAGGAAGAAGACCATGCAGGAGAGAGAGAAGCCACTGGTATAACCAAGATACCCTGCAAAACACAAGAAGACAACTCTGAGACAACTCAAAAATTACATACACTGTCAGCACTCTGCTACTTTAGAGTTATTATGTTGAAACAGATTGTATATATGTGCTGTTTAATTTTCTTTTAGATTATCTCTATTATACTGGAGAGCAGCATTAATCTTTTCTCTCTTACATGGCTTTGTGGAGGTTGTGTTAAATTCAGTTTTCCCCATACAATGATGAAACACAGAGGTTCATCGAAAGACTTGAAATAATGAATGGGCTTTTTGTACACAAAGTGTCAAAAGCATTACTCTAAGGAGTTGCTGAGTAAGTTCAAACTAATGGAAAGTGGCATACCGAGGTGTTTCATCAGGGTCAGCGGGAGGATGAGGCAGACAGTGACGATGATGATAAGGTAGTTTCCGTTCATGAACCAGTCGCTAGGTGCAGAACACAAGACATCACACACACACATAAGCCTACAGTGAAGCATACATACATACATACATACATACATACATATAGTGTAAAACGTGAGGTCACATACACCATGGTGCAGCAGGAAATGAAGGGACACCTGCCAGCTAGTTCAGGCAGTCAGCAAGTCACTGCAAAATATTCAGCTTACCCTTTTGATCATGGTGGTTTACTTGCTGCCAAAGCACTCACCTGAAAGTGTGAATATCAATTACGAAACATTCATTTGATCTAGCTCTAACAGACAGTGCATCAGAGAAAGAGAGGGAAAGTTACGGCACTCCAGGATTACAGCACCCGGCATACTGACATAACACCGCTTTATCTTGTTAAAACAATATTCACAACTTGGATTCATTTTTATGAAAAACCCCTTTGATTCTTTTGATCTGAAGACCATTATGAACTGAAGGATTATGAATAACTTACAGGGTAATCAAGGAATGGACACATAAGTTGCCAACAACCCAGTTTTATACATCAGAAGAACTTCTATTAAATAAATGAACTGCTTGGCAACCAGACCAGGCTTCTAATTGAGACAGGTGTTTATTTGTCAAAATGTGGAGCCACACTGGGCTAGTAAAATCTGTATGCTTGTTGGTGTGTGTGTGTTTGTTTTTCTCTCCTTTTAACATTTGTATTTGTATTTTTAACTTTTTAACATTTATATTTATCTATTTGTATTTATTTTGTTGTTTAAAGTTCTTTGAATTGAATTGAATTGAATTGACTAGGTGTTTAAGTAAAGTTTTACGGTATTTGTGTTTTTGAAGATTTACATCTTCAGTAGGAACCATTGAGCTTGGAACTGAGTTCCACAGACAGATTAGAGAAGTCAGAAAGTACTAAGAGATGCACTGACATGTCGTTGGTTTGGCTCTTCACATCTTTTATGTTAGACCTATCTCTGCAATGGGCACATGCGGATGAAACTGATTTTGAATTTCATACAGTTTGTTGATTTCAACGTTGTTGGCAGTACTCACTCAGAGCTGGATGTGTGGCCAAGGAAGGCTTGGATGACCAATGGTAACTCAGATTTAACTATGAACAGGTAGCTGGACATGGCTGTCGGGAAGGAAAGCATAGACAGACTGAAGAGAGAGTGTCTATTTGTGTTCCCTCAAAACAGGTATGTATGTGATGTGTTACATTTCAGTGCCCATACCTATACCAGTGTCTTACCTCCAATGTTATGTAGCGTGATGATGACAGCTGCTACAATCTTCCCTGGGTGACCAAAAGCTCTCAGGCCAAGCTGCTCATAGGCACGGATACCTCCAGAGAGCAATAACAAAGAACTATGTTAGCAAAGTCACTGCAGATATTCTGACACCTGCCGAAGTGGCCTTATATGTAAAAAAGAGGGAAAGTAAAGAGACAACGTGAATGGTCTTTTGAAAAGGTAAAGCTATGAGACTAATCTCATACTTCTGACAATATTTTCCACATTTGATGAAGCCTCACCCACAACTCCAGCACTGCGTAGCAGCAGATGGATGGAATAACAAGACAGTAAGGCGATACATGTCAACAGGATCCTGTAAAACACAAACAGGAAATGAGTGTCATTAATGTCCCTTCTTTAAACTGGAAGTCATGGGAGGCTGATTGCCTCTTGACCCACAGCAATCTGATTTGCCAAGTAGGCTACTGCTGTCATTATTTGCATGTTGGCAGAAGTTTATATCTCTTTTAAAGAAGATAGTAACTTAATGGGGTATTAGGTAGGGCTGTACCCAAATATTCGGATATTCGAATATTCATTTCTATGGGTAGGTATTCGTTATGAAAATTTGGTATTCGATATTCATTTTGTTATTTACTTCTTTTTTCTTTTTTTTTTTTTTTACATATTTTTTTGGTGCTAAATGCAGTCTTTTTGTTGTTGGTAAATATAGGTTATCAATAAAAATCAAAACTTTTAAATTGCATTGTTAAAAATGTGAAAATATAGTATAGCCTACCAACGGAGCTTGTGCGCACGGCACGCTTGAGTGCATCCGTCTGAGGCTGTGGATCAGTGCCAAGTTTTACCACTTTAACACTATTCCCTCTAACTTTTAGCTGTTTTTTCATTATCTTTTGAATTTAATATGAATTATGGAACCGTTTTGTCAATGTTTGTTTCCCCCGTTTTGTACAATAAATTATTGTTTAAAGTTTCAAGAAGTTTCTTTTGGAGTGTGTGACACAAGTGTGTTTTGAAAACGGCCGCAGACTGTCACCTGCTCAACGCATTAGTACCTTCGGATGCCATGACAGTAATAGCCAATAATGTAAAAATATCATTTACATACCGATTTAACAGACGATCACTACTGCCCGACCGGCAGGTACATTTGCGGGTCCCGCGGGTTACGGGTCGACCCGTGCATCACTACTCAGCTCAGTCTATAAAGGCTGTACACACAACAGTAAGGCTATATTTCAAATCACAACTAAAAACACATCTGTTTAAAACTGCCTATTCCATCTGATGCCAATTGCTCTGTCACTTTCTATTTTTTTTTTAATTTATTGTTGTTTCTTTTTAATCTCTTTTCAATGTCATTTTGTGTATCTGTACAGTGTCCTTGAGTGCCAAGAAAGGCGCCTTCAAATAACATTTATTATTATTATTATTATTATAGACATTATATTCTATTCAGGCCGGCAGAACCAGCAGCGCATCGGCTCTACAGTGCACAACACTGCTGATTAACCACTGTATTGCAGCACAGAATGTCTGCCAGCAACCAATTACTTGCAGAGCATAGAATAATGTACTGAAGGAGACTGTTGTGCCATCACATTTTTTTGTGGTTTGAGAGCAAAGATCCGGTCGCCGCTGTGCAAAACTCCGCAATACAATTAGGTCTGAAAAAAACACCCCCCCCAGGCCCCCCGCCGTGAATGAATATTCGAATATTCGTTATAAATTCTGCATAAGGTCTGAATTTAAATAAATGGTATTCGGGACAGCCCTAGTATTAGGGCCCTTGTGGGTAAAAAAAACCCAAAAAACTACATACTGGACCTTGAAAGTTTTTAAATTGCTAACAGGAGTAGGCGCTAATGCCAAACACCAGCAGGCAGCTGGCTGTCACGGTCCGTTGACCATTCTTTATCCGCTAACATTCAGTTGTCCATATCATTACCTTATTTCAGGTTCATAATATTCCTTTGCCTCTGCCGAGGCCCAGGAGCTTCTCTTTTTGTGGAGATTTGTCTCTCTCATGTACAATACAAAATTTATGAACGATTAACAGATGACATAATGAGATTAGTGACCCTTTACAGGATAAACGGTTACGGAAAATCAGATATATGTTTGAGTTTTTTTTAACACTTTAATCTCAGACAATATCCAAGTTTTATCTTCAATTTTACGACTTTAATTTCGGGGATTCTGTATATTTCAGAATTTTAACCCCCTTCAGATTTTGGTTTTGTGTCTTTAAAGTGTCCCCAGTATACTGTCGCAAACTGGAGCCACCCTGAATCATGTGGATTATTTTCTACAACATAAATATGAAAATCTGCCTTTTGAAAAAACTTACTTTTAACACCTTAGTGCCCACCAGCTGGGGTATTTGATTCAAAGGCATCAGTCTGGTGAATTCTGAGAGCCAAGTTATGATGGCAGAATATGCCTAGATTTCAATATCTTTGTGCTTTTTATGTGTGAAAAATGTTCTATTTTTACTGATTAAAACACTAGTGGTATGTTATGGTGAAGGGTTACACTTAAAATACGGCTAAGGATTAGTGGTTAAACATTTCAGTAATCAAAAGAAAAATGACTAACGTACTGATCTGCGTCTGGAGGGCCAGCGCCACTGCTGATTTTTTTTCTTCGTCTTAGCTCTTTAGAAACTACCGTTATATTATTTGGCGCTACGGACGTCAGTAGGCGCTTCATTTACCTGAGGCATTTTATATCGGGCTGATTGTTGGGGCTGCCGTAGTCTCAGAGCCTTCGCAACCGGACAGGCAAACTAGGCAATTGCCTAGGGCCCCGAGCTGAAAGGGGGCCCCCAGAGACGGCTGACATTGGTCCATATCAGTGACAATATGATGTAATCCCTATAGACACTGCAACAACGACAACATGTTGGAATCCCCCCTAATGGGGCCCCCTACTAGCTGCTGCTTGCGAGTGGCTAAGTAGGGTGACCAGAAATCCCGCATTGTGCGCTTTTCACGCATCACGCAAATTGAGACCATGTCCCGCATGATTGGTTGCCACCCGCGCTAGCATTGTTGGAGTACCGTAGTACTACGGTACCTCACAGTACCACTACTGTGGGATAAGTTCAAAGTCCAGTCGCAACAGGGTGAGTGTCCATGCGCCGTCCAATAACGCCGCGCTGGCCACCTGGCACTCAATATGCTGCTGCAGTGGTTTGTATCCAGTGACATTTCAGGTAGTATTAGCTGAGCTACTGAGTATCTTTAAGCAGTGAAAGTTATTATTTATTTCTTTTCACTTGTAGGTTAGATTTGTTTATATATGCTACAGTGATTTGTTTTCCACAGAGCTCTATGGTGCCAGCATTTCACTCGCATTTGCGACTAAAAATAGTTTTGCGCAAGCAAAACAAATCATTCAGGACCACGCTGTGTGAGTACAGATTTCAAGCAGCAGTAAACAAAAGGTGAATCCTGCCGTTTGTGGGTTGAACCGGGGTCACAGACGCCGTATTCCTGTCAAATACGGCACAAGATAAGGGCTTACCTGGCGACAGAGAAGTCCGGCTCCAGGTCCAATAATTTCCTCTTTGTTGATTTCATGACTGCCCACAAATACCTGAACAGCCGAGCCGTGGCGGCACACAGGTAGGCTATGTGATGTGTCAGAGGAGAAACGAGCCGTTCACATTTCTCTCTTTGTGGCAGGTAACGATTCACAAACCTCACCGCACTTTAGGGAAGGAGGAAGGAGCCGGAGCTTGTGGAAGAGGTTGAGCGCTACCGGCTAGTTATAGTCAGCCTCACCTCGACACATAGTTCCGGCTCTGGAACCCAAGTCCTTGAGAGGGGTTGGACTCTCTCCTTTGCTGGAGTTGCTCCAGGTGAGAGGCGGAGGGCCGGGGTGGGCTTTCTGATAGCCCCCAGACTCTCTGCCTGTACGTTGGGGTTCACCCCAGTGGACGAAAGGGTTGCGTCCCTGTGCCTTTGGGTCGGGGAACGGGTCCTGACTGTTGTCTGCGCTTATGCGCCAAACAGCAGCTCAGAGTACCCGCCCTTTTTGGAAGCCCTGGGACGGGTGCTGGACAGTGCCCCAACTGGGGACTCCATTGTTCTGCTGGGGGACTTCAACGCTCACGTGGGCAATGACAGCAGGACCTGGAGGGGCGTGACTGGGAGGAACGGCCTGCCCGATCTGAACCTGAGTGGTGTGCAGTTATTGGACTTCTGTGCGGGTCGCAGTTTGGCCATAACTAACACCATGTTCAAGCATAAGGATGTCCATCGGTGCACGTGGCACCAGGACAGCCTAGGTCGCAGGTCAATGATTGACTTTGTAGTCGTATCATTTGACCTGCGACCATATGTTCTGGACACTCGGGTGAAGAGAGGAGCAGAGCTGTCAACTGATCACCACCTGGTGGTGAGTTGGATCAGGTGGCAGGGGAGGACGCCGCGCAGACCTGGCAGGCCCAAATGAGCAGTGAGGGTCTGCTGGGAACGCCTGGCGGAAGAACCTGTCAAGGTTAGGTAGTGCGCATGCGCCCGCGCGTGCAGCCTGTTGCAGTCGCTCCTGCTTGTTTTCTCGGTTTTCTTACTCTTTTGCTTTATTAAGTTTGGTATTTGTGCTGGCTTTTTTGATTGTAATTTTGGAACTGCGCCCTCTCAAAACATGCTGATTGAGAGAGTTGTACTAGTTTTCATCACCCTGGAATTACTTATTTCATTCGGACCCGGCACCATTGCGCAACAACTTCATGGCTGCATTGTTTACTCCAGAGATCAGCTGATCACGCTGAGGCCGGCCGGCTTGGCGGCCGGAACATTGGAGATACCAGCTGAACTGTGGAGGAAAACACACAGAGGATGCAGGGGAGGAAGTAAACAGCGGCGGAAAAAAGCAGGGTTGAGACAACGGAGGCTTATGGAGAAGAGAAGATATAAGCCGTGTCTCCCCTCTCTCATCATGGGCAACGTGAGGTCACTGGCAAATAAGATGGACGAGCTGACAGCGGTCGCCAAAAGTCAGAAGGAGTACCGGGAATGTAGTCTTATGTGCTTCACTGAGACATGGCTTCACCAGGACATTCCCGACACCAACGTCTCCATCAGCGGCTTTCAGACTGTTCGGGCCGACCGGGACTGCACCGAGAGCGGTAAGCGCAAAGGAGGGGGGCTTGCTGTTCTAGTAAATAACCGCTGGTGCAGTCCTGACCATATTTCCATTAAGGAACGTATCTGTTGCCCGGACATTGAACTGTTCGCTGTTGGACTCAGGCCGTATTATTTGCCCAGGGAGTTTTCACATGCCATTATTGTAACTGTTTACATCCCCCCCTCTGCCAACCCGACGTCGGCATGTGATGTC